AAATAGTGTGGGAAGATGAAATGCTATAAGGATAAGAGGTATTACTAATAGAGACAGAGGAATAAGTTGACTGGAAGAAGTTGGCGAACAAGTCAGCAGCTTCAGAATCATTGCTGGCTTTCTTGTCACCAAGGAAAAATGATAAAGGTAGCGAAGCAGTTTTACGTTTAGAGTTAACGAACTTATAGAACTTTTTAGGGTCCTGTGCAAATTGTATCTTACATCGGGCAAGGTAATTATTATAACACCGTGAGTTAAGAAGGACAAAATTGGATTTCGCTATAGAGTATTTATAGAAGTCAATAGTTAGGCCCGACCGCTTATACTTTTTAAAGCATCTAGATTTAACATTTTTTAAGTTGGAAAGTCGTGGCGAAAACCACGGAGGTTTTGATGACGCAGACGATATGACACAATTTGGGATACAGACATCAAAAAGAGCGTTAATAGTGTCATAGAAAAACTTAACGGCTATGTTGATATCAACCGCACTATACAGAAAAGACCAATTAGTTGCTAAAATAAGTTCATTAAGCATTAGGCGGTATTGCGAGGCATGTTACACTTAGAAAACCATGCACTAGATCTTGAAAAGGGAAGACATATTTCTAGAGTAGGATGATAAATATCTTCAAGCAGTGTTAAAGGAGAAGATCTAGAAACAAAAACATTAGTGATATCATTAATAAACACCAAATCGAGATATCTATGAAGGTGATTGTATATTGCATTAATTTGAACTAAAGAGAGTTCAAGAAGGCAATCCAAAAAGTCATGCTGTGACGAAGGAATAATTTGAGGGGAACTATTAAAGAATGACCAGGAAATGCTTGATAAATTAAAATCCCCCACCATAAGAATCAAGTCATTATCACGCAGGCGGGAACATGGAGCATAGAAACTTGAGTATCAGAAAAAGGAGGAATATAGGAGCAAGTGATATATACCGCTCGAGAAGAAGATGTTGCCTTAACGTAAATAAATTCAAGGCTTTTTGACATATTAAGGTGGACAATTTCCGACTGGGTGGTGGTTTCAACTGCAATCAGTAGACCACCCCACGGCGAACAGGTCTATCACGTCTATAGATTATAAAGCTATTCGACAAAATTTCAAAGTCAGATATGGTAAGATTTGACACGTCTCTGACAATGCAATTATGTCAAACTCAAACGAAAAACTATCCCTATATAAATCAGTAAGTTTAGATGCAACACCTCTAACGTTTTGGTAATGTAAACTAAGAGATTTAGGAGAAATTTCTAGTTTTTCTAGTTAGTAGGCGGTATTGAAGCACTAACTGGCAGGGACACCGGAATTGGAATAGTGCGTTTTTTGTTTGAACCCATGAACTATCATATGCGGTGGCCAAAAATTGTGGGTCACAAATAGTTTCAAAAGCTTCAAACGGAACACTAACCTTAAAAGAAGCAATTTCCCGATGGAAACGCTACCACATGATTTGCTAGCGATGTAAGCAGCGATAGACTCATAGCTAGTATCAGCAGACAGTCTCGAAACACCTAGCTTCCGAGGCGCTACAACTGTAAGGAAAGGAGAGTATTGAAGCACTAACTGGCAGGGACACCGGAATTGGAATACTGCGTTTTTATACCCTGTACCCAAAGGGTGAAAAGGTATACTAGTTTTGTGCGAATGTATGTAACAGGCAGAAAGAGGCGTGGAAGACCCCACAAAGTATATATATTCTTCATCAGGATGAGAAGACGAGTCGATATAGCCATGTCCGTCTGTCTGTCTGTCCGTCTGTCTGTATGAGCGCAAGGATCTCAGTAAGTACAAGAGCTAAGATAACCAAAATTGGTATGAAGGTTCCTATAAGCCCTAGGCAGATCGAATTTGTTTATATTTTCTGATACACCCCCCCACTCCACCGCAATTCGTGTTTTTTCTTATAACTTCCGTAATTCTCGGAATTAAGAAATCAATTTTGGTAGGTACATCCAGTTAGTACTAATGTGTTCGAAGAAAGTTATAGCCATAAGTAAAATCGCTGCTCATGCGCTGCCTGCACCTCTGTCGGCAGCGCTGCCCGCAGCTGTTGTTGTTGCTGCTTTGGTTCAACTTTGTGCTGCATACATACACGCATATAAACACGCATAGGTACGTGATGTAAATGTATGCTGTTGAAACTGAACATAAACATGTATTCTAATTTAATTTAATTAATTCATTCATTCTTTTTTTTAATAGTTTAATATTAAATTTTTAATTTTTCCTTTTTGTGGAGAGTACAGGGTATTTTACTGTCGGGCTTGCTCGACTGTAGCGTTCTCTCTTGTTTTTGTTTGAACTCATGAACTATCATATGCGGTGGCCAATATTTTGGGTCACAAATAGTTTCAAAAGCTTCAAACGGAACACTACTCTTAAAAGAAGCAATTTCTCGGGGCACGGCAAAATTAAATTTAGAGATGGAAACGCTAGCAGAAGATTTGCTAGCGATGTAACCAGCGATAGACTCACAGCTAGTATCAGCAGATAGCCTCGAAACAAATATTTGCTTCCGAGGAGCTACAACTGTAAGGGCAGGAGGGCATGCAGGTGAGGTAAAAGCAGTATCGACCATTACACCAGAGGGCAGTTCGCAGACATTTCCTGAAGACATTTCAAATTGATGTAGTCGTAGCCAGCTATCTTCAGTTTAAAGAAAAAATTTGGGCAAAGTGAACGAATCATTAAGTTCGTCAATGTTACCGCCGCGAGATACTAATTCGGCGGGATTCATATACCATGACGCCAAGCTACTTGCTCTGACCAATCTTCAACTTCTGAAATTCTGCTTGGAACAAATGTACTCAGCAAATGTACTCACCGACCTGTGAGTCAGGCCAAAAATTAACACTTTTTAATAATAACCAAAAATTAACACTTTCGAATAACCGTAATATCATGGAAAAAATATTGCGGTTTCTTGTGTTTAACGAGCTAAAGCTGTCTTCCAAGTGTTAATGAAATAACGCATTCTAAGACAGACTCAGTGCTATCAACGCTGAGTAACTTTTTCTGTTGGGCTTGTTCAAAAAGGGATGGGTGGTTCGAGGCCCATTTGGTCAAAGTGAAACCTGCAAGTTGTAACACTGTCTGCACCTGTTCGCATATTACTTTTGCCTCTTCTCAACTATTTGCCCCAGTTAGCATATTATCAACATAAAAGTTGTTTTTAGTTGGCTAACTCAGTTAGACAATGCACAGCGGCATAAAATCGAAAAATTTCGGAAGATATTTTTGGGATATAAATACAATTTCAATAAATAGACACCCCAATTAGAACACAACTTTTTTTGTTGAGCTTTCTTGCAACTTTCGCTTATCATGAAAGTGGTTATATTTGTTTAAAAATAAAAGTATAAGTATGGAAAGCAAAGATCATGGTATGTAGAATCAATTTCTAATCCATATCGTGACGTGTGTTCGTGTTATCCAGCATTTTGTGTGTGTCTATTTAGCTGGAATGTATAACAAAAGTAATTGTGTTTTGTGGAGTATTACTTTCGCAGAGCGCGTCAGAGCGTGGAGCAAACAATGTCAATGTCTTAACAAAAGTACACAGATTCATAATTATTAAGTCTTCTTTGCCTGTTTTTGCCTGTTTTCGAACAAATTGCTTTTATTGCAGCAAAACTCGTGTGTGGGCACATAGAAATTATTGACATTTAGAGCACCAACATAGACTCAAAAAACGCATCTAAGCAGTATATATTGCAGAAAATTAAAGTAAAAGTAGTAGAATTGTTATTAAACACTTGTCATATACGGCATTAGGGCTTAAGGCTATAAGATAATTTGAATCGGTCAATTAAAACGCTTTGACAACTCCGAGGGCCTCATCTGACAATCATGAAACCAAATGGTTTCATTTTTCCACATCGTTGTGGACCAAGCTTTCAAAAAGTTTTATACAGTTTCTAAATTCTGAATGCTTGCCGCTAAGCCTGGGCAAGCGCATCTACGAAAGCTGACTGCGATGCTGTTGGGCCATCCTTGCAGAACAGTCATGCGCGCTTTGTGCAAACTGCTCAGTTGGCTTCAACGCTTTTAAATATAAAGCCTTTGTGCTGACCCATAAGGGTACGAACACAGTGCACACTGAGACAGTCATCACTTTCGAAATGTAATCGCGCAGTAATTCAAAACGACTAAGTTTTGTCGAACGAAATAGTTTGGTCTTCAAAGGACGACATAGCCCTATCCAACATTTGGAAGTTCTTATACATACTAACAATGTTAACAGAAAACTACTTATTAATATGTGCCAGCTCCAACAATTTGGAAATTCCAAAATACACCTTTTCTGCGTATTCACATAAGGCGTCAGGGACTAAAATTTGGTGTCCCTAGGTAATAAGTCGGGGAAGTGGGGGGGAAAATCAAAAACAGAAAACAAATTCGTATAGCGTATACATATAAGGCATCTTTGTGCAAAATTTGGTGTCTCTATCTCCTATAGTCTTTAAAATCCAGGTCCACACGCACACACGGACGGACAGACAGACAGACAGGGATAGATCGACTCGTCTTGTCACTCTGATCTAGAATCTATATACTTTGTGGGGTCTGCCACGCTTCCTTCTGCATGTTACATTTTTCAGCTCGCGCAAACCTAATATACTCCTGTACATTTAATGTACAGGGTATAAAAAGTTCATGTTGGTTGTTTAAGAAAGCAGGTCAAAGAAGATATGTTAAAACAAGTAGAGAAACTAAAGTCGGGTCTTCCGACTTTGAAATAATCTGTACACATGTGTAGAATAGACAACAGCGGCGGGCACTGCTTGGTCATATATACATATATGGCTATAACTTCCTTTTAAATCGGTCCATTATAATGAAACTTGGCGGACGGAGAGACACACACACAGCCTTGTCTGTCTGTCTGTCTGTACGTCCGTCTGTGTACACATATGTACAGAGTATTTCAAAGTCGGAACACCCGACTTTAGCTTCTCTACTTGTTTTGTTATATTTTTGTAGCTTACGTTATATTTTCCACTGCAGCATCGTACTGCCTTTGTAAATCTTCGTAAACCGCCCGCTCCTTCAAGGTATTATTAACTTGTGTGGTCAGCAAATTTTTATGCTGCTCCAAGTTCTTTACTTGTCTTTTTAGGTCAACAATAATTAAATCCTTTTCAACTATGCCATGGTCGACCACGTCTGGACGTTTTTGAAGATTTACTATGAGTTCGCGTGCTTCTTTTAATTCGCCTTCAAGCACTTTGCTGTCTTCATCATTTTTTGTTATCACCTTGTATGCGCGCTGTAAATTAAAATCCGATTCCATTAGGCTTTCTTGAAGTCTTTGGTTGCTAAAAAAATATTTCATTAAACAATAAAAAAAGATTCACTTTCTAAAATTATTCTTACGTGGTACTTAACAAATTAATTTCAACCTTTAATTGCTGATTGTCCTCGTTTTTGTCCATAAGCATCGCATTTTTCTCAGCCAATTCAAGATTTTTATTTGTTACTTGTTCTTCCAAGTTTTGGATCGTACTCTCAAGCTCACTGTTACGTTTTTCTCGTTTGGAAACCTCTGTGCTTAAGTGGACCTGTGAGTCATATTCTAGTTTGCTTAACTTCTCGTACTGTTCCTTTTTTGCTTCGAAATATTTTGCCTCCATAAGCTGTTTTTGGGAACGCACCTCACTTATTTCCCGATATAAACGGGCTACATCCGGAAAAACGCACGCACCAGGTGACCCACACAATTGCTGAATTTCGTTGCACATATCGGATATCTTTCCGTTCTAAGAAAACACTATTATTATAACCAGGAGAAGAGGTTTATTTCATAATGATTATCATATCTGATCGGTTATGCAGCCAAAACTTTCAAAAGCGGCAGAATAACATAGCTAATAAGTAACATAATGCAACCCGAAACAGAGTGCTCATATTTGTAACTTTTTCTGCGCATAAGCTGATCGCTTTACTACTTATTACATTTCTTCTTGTATTTGGGCAGCCGCTACATACAATTAAATGATCTATGTTAACTTTACTAATTCGGTTTCATATTCTTGTTCAGCATCACAAGCCGAATCGATATATGTCTGTCTGTCTGTCTGTATGAACATCAGGATTTTAGAGGCTATAAGAGAAAGGGTCACCAAATTTAGAACAAAGATGCCTTATATGTGTACGCAGTGCAAGTTTATTTTATTTACCCCCCAATCCCCCGATATGGATTTTTCGTAACGCCGATCGTATAATAACGTATGGGAACAATTACAAAATACCTTTCGCGGCCAAACTAAAACTATCTTCATTCAATCTCTTATCCTTTTATTTTACATCTCGCCGTTCCGTTCTAGTGCTGAACTGTCTCCGTTGTTGGTTTACCCTGGCTAGCTATTGTCTGTGTGTTGTGGGACTGCAGCTTTTGGCCAAGTGTTGCTGTGCAATTTTAATTTCAATTTTGCCGTTAGCTGCTGCTCGATGACCGCCTCGCTCAGGAATTGTCGTTGCCATCCATTTTCCCATCGCTGGCACCTTCGGTTAGGCGTAGGTCTTTTCACGTGACGACCTCTATTCAACCAGAGCAGAGGCACATGGTAAGTACGACTGTGAAATTGTATACCTCCAGGGAATATCCTAGCTTTCGAAGGCCCCACACAATGGCTAAGCATTCCTTCCCGGTGGCCCTGAAATGCATTTCGGATTTATGCAGCTTCCGACAGTCGTAGGAAATTACGTGCTCCTGGTCATTTATATTTGCTTCAGCACTGCGCCCAGCCCGTATTTGCAGGCGTCTGTCTGACAGCAGAAGCACTGGGTAAGTCGGGACAAGCAAGAACAAGGCGCTTCCCTTGCCCATTTCTTGCCCTTCTTCAGCAGCTCGCTGAGGGGAACGACTATCGTCGCGAAGTCGGGCACGAACCGCTGGTACCATGAGGCCACGACAATGTATTGTTTGTTGGAGACTGTAATCACCAGATTCCCCAGGTAGCGTTTCGATTTGCGAAAGAACTGGTTGTATAGTTGAGTGTTTGTTGCTAGTTTATATGCTAGTGTTATTGTCGCAACCAGCACTTTTAACCAAGTTGACTATGAGTTGTAGTGACAAAGAACACGTAGAGTTCGCTACGAATGTCTTTATTGTTTATTCGATATTTCTACAACTGATTTGCTTAAAGATAGTTACGCTATTTATATCTAAATGAAGTTGGTCAGCTGTGTCAGCGGTAGCGAACGGCAGCAGTGAAGAACGGTTGACGAAAGGAGTGGCTTGGGTGCAATAAATGCCACGGCAGCGACGTATTGTATGTTGACGATCAGTAGTTATCTCAGCATTTACGGAAGTGTGGCACTAGGTTTGCGAATCTGGCTGACTTTGTAATATTTGCTAGCATGTAATTATTTAGCGCATAGCTGACCTGATTTGTATTATTGGCTCACATGAGGATTCTTAAAGCATGCACCAACATACTCCAAGCCATTGATCAGTTGTTCAATTCTCGCTTATGCTGACGTGGTAAATTTTTACTTTGTTGATTTTCTTGGCCGTGGTCAGGGCGATGTGAAAAGTATTTAGCACCGCTAGCTGGCCATGTGCATATGTAAGTGGTTGATTTCTTTGTTGCTTCGTCTGCATTAATAAGTGTTGAGTACTGCTATTCCCAGTCGTTGAAACATTGATCAACTCTCATGATGGCAACTTGGTAACAGTGAGATGCTTCAGGGCTTTCCGGTACACCAGTTTTTGAAGGATTGCTTCCTTCTTATCCGGGTTGCTTTCGCGTTGTTGGAGATGTAGACTTTCATGAGTATTTCTACCATGACAAGTGCAGAGTATGAGACTATGTGGTGGTGTGTTATTCAGTCCTGTTGTTGTGGTAACTCAGTATCGAGAATTGCTCGTAGGCCTTTTTTTATCTGATCCAGTTCTTCAGTCTTCAACTTTGAGAAATTGTTGTGCTGCCTCAGTGGGGGGAAAGTAGCTGATTCTTCCAAACCTTAAATAAGAGGGCCGTATTGTGTTCGTTGTAGTGCCATGACCAGTCACCATTATGTCTAGATTGCTTATCCGGAGTTAATTGGTATGAGGCCGGACCGATTTATCTGCACACTAAACAGGTCGTTGTTGCATATTGCTGATAGCTCCATTGGAGACCTAACTGCGTAGATCCATTGGTTTTTGGAGTGCATATCTATCCACAAGGCAGATGCGTTTAGGAGTGTTGTTTGACAATCCGGTGACGTTTGATTTTTAAACATCTGGAACTCACAATTATATTGAGAAGACAGCATCACTTGTTTATTGTAACAAATGTATTTGAGCTGACATAATGGCACTTGTCCAAATCCTGCTGCGAGAATCCCACGAAGTTAACTGCAATGATGGGTACTCGAATCCTCATAGTAGTGATCCCTAATGAAGATACAGTTTGAATGGGCTCCAAGTTATACAGTGTTTGGGTGGCAACAATTGGTATCGATAATCTGAATATAACGTGATTATCGACTACTGTTTCTTTCGCTTGGGGGATCATTTGATATCGTTGTATGTGAGTCTGCACAACTTTTAGTTGTGCTGCCAATCGTCGTGGTGGGATAAGTGATAGGCTAATGGTGCTATGCAGAACGTCGCTGTGAACCTTCAGAATCTCGGATGGCAATCGTTGAAGGTTGGATGCAATAACTGCAAGTTGTACTGAAATTGCAATGAACCATTGGAAGAAATTACCTTGTCCTTGCTTCAGTTTGATAAATTGTTGCTCAATATGGTTCATTCGCGCGGTGATTGCAGCTTCATCGCATTTAAGGATGTTCATTGTAGAGTCAATAATTGACGTTTCATTTTGAGATAAATATTCTTCGTTGGTCTTACCTTAGAAATGGTTTTTGACATTTCCTTAGCGTAATCAGTGTCGAGAACTCCAAATAAGCTAGTCCGGATATTTCCAATAATGTCCAGCGGTGATCTTCGTGTTATGTGCTTGTGCTGAACGACTTCATGTCATTCCAATACGGTTCCAGATCATAGTAAGCAATTATGGTCCAGTCAGAAGTGGCTAATTTAGTCGTGCCTAATTCCTCGTACCGAACTCTGTTATGTTTATTGATTGTGCTAGAGCTGACGGCAACATCAAATTCAATGCTAACGGAATAGTAGCTATTGATTGTAGACCCAATGGTTTGGGTATTTTGACTGGTCCGTTATTCGTAGCTGCCGAGTCCAATACTACTCTTAGCTTAGTAGTATGACTGTCTCGTTTTCCGGATGTGGTGCTGGTATCTTCCTTTTCTGCTCCTTCTCCATATGCCCCAAGCTTTCGTACCAGGCCATGGGTTTGATATAGGTTTGTACGTGTCAGTTGTTTTTCTAAAGCATCATCACAAGGCTCCCCCGGGCTGAAATGTTTTCTGGAATTTTTGACTTTAGTCTTCCCTTGAAACCTTTGGACGATTCTGGAAAATGTGTTCTTTACACCGTTTTTCAGTGTGTGTGGGCTTGGCGGCTTCTAGGTTTTGACTTTCCCAAAACTCTTTGTTAATCCATGCGTATCATTAATGCTTATTGGAACTGAACAGGTTGTTCTTGCCTTGGATGTCATGTTAACTTTTCCATCTACACAATCCATCCAAGATGGGAGTTGGGAGTGACGGCAGCTGTGTCCCGACATGCATAGTTTCTGGTCGCATTAATGGGAAATAATGCTCAGCGCCCAGGATCAAGTCAATCTTCCCAGGTTTGTGTTTTGTGTGTCGGTTGGTAGGTTTCCAGTAGCTGCTTGCAGTGATTACGTAGGTCGATTTTCTACAATGTGCGGTACTACCAAAGCATCTACCCTTGTAGTAAAATCATTAAACCTTGATTTTATGAGAACCATTTCAACTGTTTTGGGGGCGGCGGCTGGGTACGCTGACATTGTACGCTTGCCATATTTGTTGGTAACAAAAGAGGAAGCTGCTGTCGAGCATCCCAGACAGTACTCTGTTTCTAGACCCGGCCCTTAGTTATATACACCCATAGCAGAAGAAAAATGAAGAATAATAACTTTTCTTAGAATTGACAGATTCGGATAAAATTCGAAAAAAAACTAGTTTATAGCACATAGATTCCGTAAACAAAATGGAAAAAAAGACAACAACAAAAAAAATTGTAATATTACAAAAAATGAGCTTGTTTGCAGTACAGAGTTAAGCCAAAGCAAAAACAATAGCAGTGGGTAGCGGTTACATTTATGGCTATAGCTTCCTTTCTAATCAACGTATCATAATGAAACTGGGCACAGGCAGACATATTTATAAACAAGTACAGAAGCTAAAGTCGGGTGTCCCGACTTTTAAATACTCTGTACATATGTGTAGAATAATTATGCGTGAATGTGTGTGCCTGTATGTGTCTGTATATGTTTCCTGTGCCTGTGCAAAGCAGTAACAACAACAACAGCTGCGGTCACTGCTTGGTCATATATACATATACTAGAAGGTCTTGCCCATCTTTGCCGGCTCAGTATTTGTGCTTACAAATATACGTTTATTTGCTATATGATATTTCTCTTCCGACACTCTCTAAAGTTTCAAAAGAGTTCATTCAAGAGCTAGGACATAAAGTACAATATGGTGATATGATAGGGAGAAATCTAGGCAAGTAATTTCTAGAATTAAAAGCTGTACACTTTGGCTAAGTTATTTGGTCAACTTATGCAACTGCACAACATTTAAATGACCATACACACATAAGCACATATATATCTCTATATATACACGAACACGCACGAAATCGGAATACGAAACACGG